GGATAGACCTCTCGGAGCTCCACGACGGCTACCTTAAAGTCAGCAACAAGCCGAGCCGGACAGCAAAGCTATTGGAAATGTTGGATGGTGTTCTTGCAGCCCCCGAGTCGTCCAGACAGGCTGCCAAGAGCATCCATGGGATCCTCAACTTCATGAATGGCTCGACTTTGGGTCAGCACCTCAAGCTGGCGGCTAGGGCCTTTTCCAACTTGGCATCGGCATCAGAGTGTCCTTCGATCCAGGACCTGACTTTGCTTGTGGACTACACCAAGAAATCGCTAGAAGAAGCCTTGCCTAGGCGCTGGAAGTGCTGCTCTGGTGGTCGCCCGGTAGTCATCCTTACGGACGGGTCCTACGAGAAGGGATGCGCCCTATGGGGCGCCGTAGTCTTGGATCCTGAGAACAATCTCAGGGCAGTCCACCATGGGGCTGTGCCGAAGCGGCTGTTGACGCATTGGCAATCTCTTGGAATCGAGCAGGTAATATGCCAAGTGGAAACTTATGCTGCAGTAGTGGTGCGCCACCACTACGCCCAGCAGCTTAGTCAGCGGAAAGCTTTGTTCTTCGTCGACAACGAGGCAGCTCGCTGGACGCTGATTAAAGCTAGCAGCCCTTCAGTCTCAATGCTGCCATTGGCCCGCGCGTTCTACCTCCCAGAGGCACATCACCCGTGTGCCACATGAGTGGAACGCGTACCTACAGCGAGCAACTTGTCCGACCTGCCTTCACGAGGCAAGCACTTGGAGGCAGCAAAGATGATCGGTGGCCAGTCCTGTGGAGACCTCAGCCTACCGGAATCTATCTTGAATTATCTGATCAAACCAGACGGTTTACCGGAGAGCCTCTTTCGAGTTTCACTTTAAAGGGGAGCAACGGGCAACTCGAAGATGCCTGAGATATGCCCCCGACGTTTAAAAAGAGCTCGTGCGATGAGTGCATTGTGAGAGTGTGTATGTATATGTCTGTGTACGTGTAAGTGTGTATATGTATGTGCACGGGTACAGCCACATGTATATGTACATGTAGATATACGTATGTATGTATATATATATATATACATCTTCCTATCTATATTTATATTTAGACATGTATATTGCAGCCCCGCACAATACGTGCACAAACAACATAAATAGATATACGTGCACAGACACAAATGTCTGTGTGTCTGTCCGTCTGTGTGTCTTTCTGTCTGTCTTTCTGTCGGTCTTTCTGTTTGTTTGTCTGCTTTTCTGCCTGTCTGTCTGTCTGTCTGTCTGTCTGTCTGTCTGTATGTCTGTATGTATGTATGTATGTATGTATGTATGTATGTATGTAGGTATGCTTTTACTTGAATAGACGATGCGTAAAACACATGTATACTTGCGGTTGATTGTGCGTTGGTATCGTTCTGGCATCTAGGTCAGGAAGGCGCAGAAGAAGGATGCCGAGCGAGAAAGCAGCATGGTTGAGCTGGCACTCCTTTGTGACAGCATGGACTATGACGGATGCCTGCCTTCACCAATCATTTTCTTAAACTTCCGGGCCCAGCGACAGTAGCCAAGGCGGCTTTTCTGATTCTGGCTTTTTGCTTTTCCGGCTTGGCTTTTCAGCCCAGGAAGCGGCACCTTATCCCTGGAAGAGATGTTGAATGGCTTCGACAGTAATGCGCACTTCAAGGGTCTCATGGAGCAAATGGACATCATGCGGGAAGACATGGCGACTCGGAAACATTATGAGCATTCTAGGGCATCTCTCGGACAGACACATCTTGCCTGGGTTGTATTGGGTCCTTTTTATCCGGCTTTGCTGTTGTGGCTTGCGTTCAATGAGATAAGCTTTGTGGAATTGTTTGTTTCGTAGATGCAGTCACCCTACTTGGATCAACTATCGTCGGCAAGTGCTCGTTTACTTCGAACATTTCAGAGGCCGCTGATGTAGTAGTGTGTGTTCACCTGATGCAGATAGCCCGCGGCCTCATCGCAGGAATGGCACTGCTTCATCTCCTAAAATCCAGATTCCTCTTGCTATGTAAAGGCCCCGCTAAGTCATAAACTCGGCCGTACGTGGGAAGCACCTGAGCAGTGCTGGCCAGTCCTGACCATGGAGACCGCAACTTGTTTAACCAGCCGGGGTTTTGGCTTTCCTGGCATGCTAAGAGTCCCATCAAGCGCATACACGGACGAGGAGACGATCTTCAACGTATTGGACTCAAACAGATCTGGTGAAGTGGACTATGTCGAGTTCTGCCAGCACTTGGGCAACTTCCGCAAGTTCCCTGGTCTGAACCTATTGGCGAAAGCGGTTGCTTTTGTAGTTAAGACTGTGGGTCGATGGGCTTGAGATGGCATCCGTGAGGCGGGACCTCCACATGATGCCCTCTCTGATCAAGTACTCGATCATGGAAATACGGCAGGTGATAAAGCGCGACATCGTGCAGGTCCTGGAGGAACATACCGAGATGCTTTTTGACAACCTGGAAGTCCTTTCTTCCGTGCCTGCCTGTGGTGAGAAGGCTCAGACGATTGTCATTGTCTCGCCTGCAGGGATCCCTAGGTGCAGTCAGGTGTCGGGACATCCTAGGCCCAGGCTTGCCTGTGGAGTTTGAAGCCTTGCGGCAGGGATTCGTTGGTGTCGAGAGGGTCTTAAGCAAGAGCTGCCAGAGGCCGAAGAGATGCGAATCCGGCGCCGTGGGGCGCCCTCGCTTCGAAGACAGGGTGCCTGAGACGACGATCCAGCTAGCAGAAACGAACTGATCGTGATTCTTCGCATGACCCTCCAAGACTGAAACGCTTGCACTCGACATAGCCAGCCTGGGAACTGTGAAGTATCAGAGCCCCAAAGCTGGCTCGGAAACCCGGGACAGTCCTCGAAGCCTGCCATCCTAAATCCGGTTGACCCTGAAGCCCGAATCCCACGATGGCCCCTATATCGCTTGAACTTCGACTCTGTCCAGCTCCGAGCCCAGGCAAGTCTCAGGGAAAGCCTCAGTTCTTCGGCTCTGACCCATCCGGGGGTAGCATTGCAGCCGCGTACGGCCCAGAGTTGCCGGAAGAGGTGGAGGAATCACCGGATTCTGGCACGGGGATCTGTCACTAGTGTGTAATGATACAAGATCACGAGATTGAAGGTATTGATGATGTTTTTCCTAAATGGACATACTCCACCCGCGTGATTTCAGGGTTCGGCGACAACATTTCAGGGGCTCTGTAGTGTTTGGCTAGACTGGTGATGCCCGAGGTAGGCAAGAACACGCTTGAAGGTAGACGTGGCTCCGAGGAGTGAGGTCCTAGCTGTTTGCACTAGAACGAATCACTAGAATCCTGGCAGTTGATATCCAACAGGGCCTTTCCTTTCAAAACAGCTTTTCGTTTGGATGGAGGCAGTCCTGTAGTAACAGAGTTATCTGGATTGCGGCAGGGTTGTGGTGGCAGAATACTGGCTTGCTTCGAAGTCTCTTGACTTGTCTCTGCTCGTGTCTTGCCAGTCGAGTTCAGGACCCGCACGAGATGCTGGAGTGCCTTGATGCCGCCCAGCTGATTCGTGCTTGCTTGTTCGGTGCTGGTGCATCCTTGAAACCGTAACCCTTTTGCTAAGATTGAGAACGATATGAATGGACCGTTTTCTGTTTAAATGGACAGAATTCGTTTGTGTGTGCCTGTTTTAATCCAAGGTCACCTGCAGGACACTTCAGTGCATGCAGGTCCAGCTCGACTCCATGATGTCCCGCGCAGAGCAGCTGACTGTTGCAGCCCTGGACAGTGCACAGGAGCCTTTCGCCAAGCGCAAAAGGCGGGCCAAAGTTTTGCTCAAGACAGCTTCTGCATCTTAATCGGGAGCCGAAAAGCTAAGTGCCAAGGCAGACCTTACTCTAGCTTTCCCCCGGACGCATGGCCTTGCCCTCTTGTCGATTCTTGCGCTTGAGTGCACGTAGCCCGTGAGCTAGGGACGAGTAGTCCTTAAGCGGGGGCCCGGCCCTGTGTTCAGGATGGACTGGGAGGATGGAGCACCTAGAGCCGAGGGTAGCTCATCGCCTGCACTGGATATGCAACAAGCAGCAGATTTGGAGGCGAAATGTGCCTCTGTTCTGTCAAACCTGGAGCAGCGAGTGCGTGAAGAGGAGCGGCTTCAGGAGAGATGCCAAAGTATTATGCAAGCGCTGGATACCCTCATGCACGATCCAGACTGTGGACTGGCCATTGTGAAGCAGTCTCTTATCTAGTACACTCGTGCATCATCTGATGGACTTCGACGATGGCACTGTGCGCAGGATTCTTGAAGCGTCGAACCGAAGAACAACTCTGTTTCGCTTCCCGTTCAAAGTTTACCCAACGGGTCGTATTGTGTCGCTACCGTGCTGGTGGCAGAGTTGCACTGCGACGCACGGAGAGCCGGTGCGTTTGGAGACTGACTAGGTTCAGGTGATGACAGACGTATGAAGCATCCAAATGGCATAGCCAAAGCATGCAATGACAATGAACGACCACAAGAAGCACTGACCAGCATGTCAATGCACCGCCTCTCCAGTGCCTGCAGGCTTGTATCCGTCACTCGGATGTCTCACCGATAATGTCCCGGGCCGCTCCTTGACAGCCCTCTGCACTCCACTCCGAAGCTCACCCGAAGTTGAGCCGCTGACAGAAGACTAAGATGAATGTCAAACTTGGCTGCAGAAGGTGTGGCTCAGGGAGGCGAGCGACCAAACCGCCGTCGTGATGACCGTGGCTCTGAGCCGCCTCTGCAAAGGGACGGCGAGGTTGGCGAGAGAAAACAGGCCTCATTCTAGTTCCATGGTTCGGTTTGCAATTCCAGAGAGGGGTGTGCGCAGCGCGGTGTGTGCTTACCATATTATCCTCGAGGTTGGCTTTTCAAAAGAGTTCGAGGCTGCGCATTGTAACTTGCGAACGTTAGGACCGACACAATCGATTCAGCAACAGCAGCACCCGACAAAGATTCTGACAGTGACCTGAAACTCCTCCGCCTTCGCCATGCGTGGAGAATTGCACCGAGAAGCCTTGTGCGAGGCTGGCGTCCCTATGCCGCTTGCCGCGCCTGAGCTCTCAGAGGCGGTCCACATGCCAATGCCGTTTCTTTCGTTTGTACTGTTTTCTCGGGAGTTGTTGTGATGTCGATAGTCGAGCGGTTTTCGCTGTTTGAGCCTCTCTAGGGTCTTCCATGCCAGGCCGAGTGCTGCCGCTGGCTGGGCATCTTTTCCCGGAGGAGATATACCGCCAAGACCTCAGCTTTTGGAAAGGAAGTGGCCAGGGCACCTGCTTGCATCTACTTTGGTGCAAGAGCCCGCAGGCACGCTAGCTTGTTGTTGTAACCTGGTGGGTAAAACTGTTAAAACAGTATACTGGGCTCTGGGCCAGTATCGATCGATGGTATTTGGAGCAGACTGCTAGACGTTGAACTTTTGATGCTTGCTCTTCTCGTGCATCGGCTGTTCTGATGCCAAGATCGTCCTCTTCCTCGGACCAGACCGTGCGCAGCTGTGTCTGGAGCAGGTTGAAGCTTCTGTGCTAGCCCCAGAGTTGACAACCCGATGCGGAACGAGCAGCTCAAGTTTTCCCTTGTGTTCCAGGAAAGCGGGGATGAAGAGGAAGTGGAGGAGATAGAGGTGCGGTCTTGTGCAAGCACGCCGATGGGCTCTCGTTGCCTGCGTGTCGGTGAACCCACAGACCATGTCGCAGTTGCATGGCAGCGGTTGTGAAACTTGCTGACTTGCGATGCCGGCATCGCCAAGCCAAAGAGCTTGAGCTCAACCACACATGATGCAGGGATAGTAGTAGACACTGATAGAGTCCTGGCCGTTTGTGCGCAGCCAGAAACGTGGTTTCCCTACTCCCTAAGGCCCTAAGGGTTTGCCATCGAGACTTCAGATGACTGCTTAGTGTTTCACATGCACATCGGCAGACGAGACAACCGCAACCCCGACTTTTCGAGCATGAGATGTCTCTGCCGCTGGCCTTGGCCTCTTCATCGGCCCCCTCGTGGTGCATGTCCTCGCGGTGGCGACGCGTGGTTGTCACCCTCTTTGCCGTCTTCTGCAGCGCTGAAGGTGAGGATTGGGCATGTTTGGGTTGACTTTTTTTCGCAGGCCTGTTTGGGGTGCTTGTTTGTGGCATTTCGAGATGCTGTCAAACTCGAGTTTCTGTTCGTGCTGCGTAGCGTCAGGTGGGCCTTTGGAAGAGCAGAACGAGCAGCAGTGCCTGCATCTGGACGGTTACCCGGGGCGCTGCCCAATCTACATCATGAAAGGCGCTTGCTATAGCCTCTTCGTCGAAAAGAGCCTGTAGGTGCTTGAAATCCTAGGTCTTAGGTCCTTTTTTCATCGATCTTCTGCGCGAGCCTGTCAACACCATGGCTGTGTTATGATGCCGATATTCATGGGAGCTCAGGTGATCAAGAGGGCGTGGCCTGGGCCTGCATGACTGAAACCTGCCTGCAGATGGGTCGGACTTTTAGGACAGTCGGTTTGGGCCTGCAGCAGTCCCAGAAAACAGTTCTTCGCTAATGAGAGTGGCCCGCCCAAACCTCTACACTTCCCAGAAGTGGCCTGAGAACGTAGCAAGGTAGCTGGGGCCCGTCTTGGATATCTAGTTGTGGGACTCAGCATGATTCAACGCGTATGCCCCAGCAAAGCGCCAGCCGCAGCAGTCGCGAAGGAGATTCCCGACAAGGATTCTGCCCACAGTGGTACTTTTGAACTGGAAGAGTAAGCAGTACGTTCTTGGCTTCAGTTTGCGGTCTTATTATCCTCATTATTATTACTCTTATTCTGATTATTCTTATTATTATTCTTCTTAGTGTTATTTCCCTTGTTAGTCTTATTCTCTTGATTGTTATAATTCTTCTTGTCAAAATTCTTATTTATTCCGTCTCGCGTGAAGGATGGCTTGGACGGCGTCCCACCGGCAGGCTGCAGCTCTATGCGACCTTGGCAGCATCTGGCGAGTCCCTACTTGGATCATATTATGATACTGTATTGTAATTTAGATTATAGTTGTTATAGTCGTTATAGTATATTATTTCGAAAGTTCTATGCCCTAGACCCTAAACGCTAAGCCACTAACCCCCAAACCCTTATCTGGTCGAGGCTTCAAGAACTCCCCATTTTTTGCATGTCCAAGCTCTGGCTTAGTGGTGGCGAAGGGATGGCAGACACGAGGAGGTTATGTTGTTGTGTTGATGTTTGGACGTCAAATTCGGCTTGTGATCCCTCCCTAAACCCTAAGCCCTAAACCCTACACCCTAAACCCTAAACCCTAAACCGCATGTGTGGCGGGGCATGTTCAGGCAGCTGCCACCTCCGCATAAGGGCGCCTATGCAGGCCGGTGTAGACCATTCTTTGTGAGTTGCAGCTTAACGACATTGGCCATTGTTGGCCTGAGTCCGTCCAGCTGGATTCTTTCAGGACGGTCTCTCTCGCTCTCTCTTACTCCCTCTCGCTCTCTCTCGCTCTCTTTGGCTCTCTCTGGCTCTCTCTCGCACTCGCTCGTTCTCCCTCGCTCTTTTTTTTTTTTTTTCTTTT